TGATTGACACTGAGCAACATAAAAAGCTGGCAAGAACCAATGCTTATTACCATGATTATATAGCTATAATATACATTTTCGCGTTTTTCAAAAAGTCAACATTCCACATCTGAATATATGTTTTTATTTTAAAAGCTTGGATCTTTATGTGCGTATGAAGGTATATGTACCCATTAGCTCTATAATAATTGCCACGTTCTGTGAAGTATGAACTCATGAACTTTTTTCTTTTATCCAACTTGGAGCTTTATCTTATTATTGTTTTGTTTGGTATGCTATTTGTTTTTTCCTGACCAACTATTTGCTCTTTTATTGATTTATTTGTTGGTTCTGCTAATTTATTCCCATCATCCATGGAGTTATTCTCAATGAACTGAATTATTAATTCATAGTTTCATGTTTATTTAATCCTTTTCTCTGAACCACCATCTCTGTGATGTTGTCAGTTTTGTTTCTTATGTGGGCACTGACCGATTCGGTACAGAATCCAAGATACATACATGTAAAATCCAAGTCTTTGTTTCTTGGTTGGATCCAATATTCAGCTAAATTTTACGACATTTTTGTCTTTTTGTTTGAATAATATTTTCCCTCTCATGTGCCCGTAAAAATCATTCATTTTGGTTCGACAATCCGCTTGAATGATGCGATTTTTCGTAATGATTAGACCTGTTTTCATGGGACTTCTGCTCCTATGTGTTTCTGGTTTGTGGATTTTGCCAACGGAAGGTGCTGGTAGAGAAAGTTTCTCAAGAAACTCTTCTTCTTCTTCTCGGCCAAGCTCTGTCAACGTCGGAGCTCTGTTTACTTATGATTCTTTCATTGGAAGAGCAGCTAAACCGGCGTTAATGGCGGCCATTGACGACGTTAATGCTGATCAGAGTATTCTCAGGAGAACCAAGCTCAATGTTGTCTTCCATGACTCAAACTGCAGTGGATTTGCTGGCACCATGGGAGGTACTTTTCATATACTTGTTGCTAATAGGAGCAGCTTCTTAGATATGCCTGATGTTTACTTGTTAAAATGCTTTAACGAAGCTATGGGCTTAGTAGTAAATTGGTACCTGGATATGTGGAAAAGAGATTGGTGATATGTTCTCTTATTGTGTAGCTTTGCAGGTAATGGAGAACAAGGTGGTTGCAGCTATTGGTCCACAATCTTCAGGAATTGGTCACATAATCTCTCATGTAGCTAATGAGCTCCATGTACCTCTCTTGTCATTTGCAGCAACTGGCCCGACTCTTTCTTCGCTACAGTTCCCTTATTTCCTTCGAACCACACAAAGCGACTACTTTCAGATGAATGCTATTGCGGATTTTGTATCTTATTACCGATGGAGAGAAGTTGTTGCAATCTTTGTTGATGATGAGTATGGTAGGAACGGGATATCTGTATTAGGCGATGCTTTAGCCAAGAAACGTGCCAAGATCTCTTATAAGGCTGCATTTACACCTGGTGCAGATAACAGCTCGATCAAGGACTTATTGGTTTCTGTTAATCTGATGGAATCTCGCGTCTTTGTTGTTCATGTGAATCCTGATTCGGGTTTAAACATATTCTCTGCGGCGAAGTCTCTTGGAATGATGGGAAGTGGCTATGTCTGGATCGCTACTGATTGGCTTCTTACAGTTTTGGATTCTATGGAAACCGTGGATCCCAAAACTATGGATCTCTTGCAAGGAGTGGTTGCTTTTCGCCATTACACACCTGAGAGTAACATGAAGAGACAGTTTAAAGCAAGATGGAAAAACATTATATCCAAAGAGAATCCAAGAGGTGATGATGATGGCTTCAACTCCTATGCAATATATGCTTATGATACTGTTTGGTTGGTAGCTCGTGCTCTTGAATTTTTCTTCAGTGAAGGCACTACAGTGACTTTCTCCAATGATCCAAAACTGAGGAAAACCAACGATAGCAACATTAAGTTATCAGCACTTAAGGTTTTCAATGAAGGGGAGAGATTCCTGCAGGTCATTCATGACATGAACTACACAGGTCTGACCGGACAAATCGAGTTTGATTCAGAGAAAAACCGGAAAAATCCAGCATATGACATCCTAAACATAAACAGCAGAGGTCCACAAAGAGTCGGGTACTGGTCTAATCATTCAGGCTTATCAGTCCAGCCTCCGGAGACGTTATACTCTAAGCCTTCAAACACATCTGCAAAACAGCAACGTCTTGATGAGATTACATGGCCAGGGGAAGTAACAAAGCCACCTCGTGGTTGGGTTTTCCCTGACAATGGAGAGCCGCTCAAAATCGGTGTGCCTAACCGTGTGAGCTACAAAAACTATGTGTCCAAGGACAATAACTCTCTTGGTGTTAAAGGCTACTGTATTGACATCTTTGAAGCTGCTATTCAATTGCTTCCATATCCTGTCCCTCGTACTTATATAGTGTATGGAGATGGGAAGAGAAATCCTTCATATGACAATCTCATAAGTGATGTTGCTGCCAATGTGAGTCTTAGCTCCTTCTCTCATTTACAGAGTAAAGTACAAAGATACTTATGCTAAACTGTCTTTTTTTTCTTTCTGTTCTGTCTTTAGAATTTCGATGTAGCTGTTGGGGATGTTACTATAGTTACAAACAGAACCAAGTTTGTAGATTTTACGCAGCCATTTATGGAATCAGGGCTTGTGGTGGTAGCTCCAGTGAAGGGGGCCAAGTCTAGTCCTTGGTCGTTCCTGAAGCCATTCACTGTAGAGATGTGGGCTGTGACTGGAGCTTTCTTTCTCTTTGTGGGAGCCATCATTTGGATTCTCGAACACCGCTTTAATGAAGAGTTTCGTGGACCTCCTAGGCGTCAAATCATCACCGTTTTCTGGTTAGTTCTCAGTTCTTGACCTTCCTGACATAAGATGTAACTTAAGTACTGAGGCACTAAAGCTTTGCCCCTTCCTTTATGGTCTTCAACGTTGCAGGTTTAGCTTCTCAACGATGTTCTTCTCTCATAGTATGTACTCTATTACAAATTGGAGCCTACAAAACATGAAAAGCTTTCTTCTCCCTTTTATGTTATTTTATATTCTTCTTTCTTTCTTGATCTTCAGGGGAGAACACAGTGAGTACGCTGGGGAGGTTTGTGCTACTCATATGGTTATTTGTGGTTCTGATCATCAACTCAAGCTACACGGCCAGTCTCACTTCGATCCTCACCGTTCAGCAGCTAACATCTCGGATAGAAGGAATGGACAGTCTTATAGCAAGCAACGAACCCATTGGAGTGCAAGACGGTGCCTTCGCGTACAAATATTTGGTCAACGAACTTAACATAGCACCATCAAGAATCATTGCTCTGAAAGATGAAGAAGAGTATCTCTCTGCTCTTCAACTTGGTCCCAGAGCTGGTGGTGTGGCAGCTATAGTCGATGAGCTTCCTTACATCAAAGCTCTGTTGTCAAACAGCAACTGCAAGTTCCGTACTGTTGGACCGGAATTCACCCGGACAGGCTGGGGATTTGTATGTCAAAAACCTGTTTAAAGACGTAAAAGAATCCATCAAAACTTTGCTTAACGGATCTTGATTGTTGCAGGCCTTCCAGAGAGACTCTCCTCTAGCTGTGGACATGTCAACAGCGATCCTGCAGCTGTCTGAAGAAGGAAAACTGGACAAAATCCGCAAGAAATGGCTTACCTACAACCACGAATGCACAATGCAGATTGCAGACACAGAGAACTATCAAATCTCGGTACAGAGTTTCTGGGGGCTGTTCCTAATCTGTGGCATCGTTTGGTTCATTGCACTCACCCTCTTCTGCTGGAAAGTTTTCTGGCAATGCCAAGGGTTAAGAACCGACGAAGAGAGTGACGAAATAAGAGCGAGCGAAGAAGCCAGTTCTTCTAGATCAGGGAGAAGTTTGAGGGCGGCTAGTTTCAAGGATTTGATCAGAGTTGTGGATAAGAGAGAAGTAGAGATCAAGGAGATGCTTAAGCAGAAGAGCAGTAAGAAACTCAAAGTTAGCCAAAGCTCAGCTGAAACTCCGTAGTGTAGAGTTTAGATAAAGAGTCAACACAGTTTGTTTAATTGACTACAGACATAACGTTTCTTACAAAAGGTAAATAGATTTTTTTCATAAGATTTTGTAATGGTACCATAACCCAAAGAAGAAAAATGCAATTGTTTATTCTTCCCACATGAAATGCAAAAACATCAGCAAATGAACTGAATCATCATTAGAGATATGAGCATGTTGACCAGTTTCATGGTAACAGTAATTTATTTGGAGTTTAGTATAGAGTTGCTGCTCCTCTGCAACTTGAATCTTTCTGCTATGGAATATTTTGTCCAGGAGAAAGCGTGTTTGATGGTGAGTATTACTACTATTAATCAACACTAACAACTCACCTTACCAAACATTCTATATGGTTCTTGGCGAATAACAACGCTAGAAAGACTAGCAGCTAAGAGCCTTTTTGCTTGGTTGGGTTTGGATCAAACCATTTGGTTAGTACAAAAACCATAGCCAAGACAAACAGCTAAAAAAGCTCGTTGCAATCTCTCTTGAAACACAGAGAAAGACTTGCCCAAGACGAGCTTTGAACTTTCTAAGAAATCAAACTTCCAAGACAGGGAATATCCAGACCACAAAAGAGATTGAAACTTACCAGAACATTTAAAAACCAAAGTTGAAACACAAATAGTTCAAAAGAGTACTCAATAATGGTGTTGTCAAACTTGAAACACAAATAGAGAAATGAGTTGAGAAAGTTCCAACAATCAGAATGAAACAAAAGTACTTAAAAACTGAAATAGCGAAAGTCTTTAACAAAAGTTCACAAGGAAGTCAATTCCCGAACCTAAACTCAAAAACCATTCAAGAACTGAATAGTTTCTTGCCAGGTTCGTTCTTGACTCCTCCACTTTTGAAGCTTTCCAAATTCTTGAACTTACTTTCCTGTAAAAAAAAGAGGTTATTAGCACACCAACGCGTTGAAAGTATCAAACAGTTATTAAGTTTAATTTGCTGAAATGGGTTAAGTGATGTACCCTTCAAGCAGTGTGCTGACTAAAGTAATCTCTGATCTTCTTGGCGGCTGCTAAAATCAGATTCTCCATGGTTGCAACAGAGCTAAAAGTCAGCATACCAGAAGAAGATGCATCAACCAGCATCTGAAAGGCAACGTTCACGAGTGACCCTCCTGCTATTCCAGGCTGAGCCATACCATCTGGAAGTATAGCAAAACCTGAAGGAAGTAATGGCACATACTCAGGGTCACCTCCATTGAGAACTCTCTCCATTGATGGAACATCAACAGGCGCAGAGACCACAAACGAAGCTGCTGGCTCAGTAAAGCTCTCTTGAATCATCATCATCTCGTTCGGGCGAATGTTTGGGCTCTAGTAACCACAAAACACATGTCACATATTAAATATCAAAAAAGAATGCAAATATAAGACAATAAAGTCATGTAATATAGATATATATACCCGTATTAAAGATACACAATTCCTTTGGTCTCTCCCATTAAAAATATGTGTCAGCTTCTGAGGAGTCCCTTCCATGAATAGAACATCCCACTGCACATAACATTTCAAAACATGTTAAAGCAAAACAAAGATAAGCTAGTGTCTTAAAAAAACAAAAGAGTACGAACATTCTTTCGATTGTTCTCATCTCTGAGGAAGTCAAAGACAATGATAGGAGGAGCCGAGACCCAAAACGAATGAGCTGCACAGAGAATGAGTCCATCAGGTCTTCCTGGTTCATTCAAGCTCTTCCGAGTCATCATCACTCTCACATTACTTCCTCTATTACCAGGCAAGTTTTGCCATATATCTGCAGTAGAAGTTGTCACTCCATCAAAGAAACCTCTAAACATCCTCTCAGCTAGTCTCAGCATGCTCTGTTTCGCATTGTTCGTTACTGCTTCACCATTCCACAAAAGTCACAAAATGGTTAAGGAAAAACAAAAATAACAAGGAGGGATTATCTTTGTGATTAGTTTAACTAGTAGTAAATACTTATTTGACCAGCAGAGTCTATGGATGGAATGTTTGAAGACATCATGAAGGCTAGCCGCTCGCATTGGCGGTCAAGTGTAGCAACCCAACGGATAGCACCTAAAGCTTGACCAGAATTGAGTAAGGGCTTAAAGATGTCATGAGGTTCACCTCTTGCATCTACCTCCACATGCTCGACCCAAGTAACCTTATTCCAAAATCAAAACAAATATAACCATTTTAATATTCCTATACAAAAAATCCATAAATTAACACACATGCATTTTTAGTATTTACCCTGGAGAATCCATTTGGCATTTGTTGAATCAGACACCCGGAGGGCCTTCGCCGACAATTAAGTTCACGGTTTGGAATGAGATGGTCGATGGATATATCGACCACACACCATAAACCTTCACCATGCTGCTTACAGTAGCGGGCAAAGTAGCTTTTCCGAGTTGAGACTAGTGGCGAAAGAACTTGGTATTCAGCAGTCATCTAATGAAGTCATTAACAACAACAATATTGGTTATAGTTTGGGTGACTCAACGTTTAAGCAAAATAGTATTGGTTCTATATATTAATAATATTGTTTCATATCAAAGTGATGTCATTCTTGTTTTTATTTTTTTTGTATTAAAAGGCAAAGTGGAAGATTTACCAGATGGATAGTTCCGTCCAAGTTTCCGTGGACTCTAGTCAAGAGGGTCTCATGAGTCATGGCTCTACCAACCATTCCAGCAAACATGGTCGACCATATATTCTGCAAGTACCACATTAATTAATTACAAAAACATTGTAGAGGCTAATGTATGCATGTTGACAAAAAAGGCTTATATATTTATCATAATAATTAAGTTAACTTACCACATCCATTAGCCTGTGAACAATGTCCATATGTTGCATGGACACCAACACGGTTGCTCTTGATGCCTCGGTTCTAAACCCGGTCGGTGTAGGCCCGAGTCCGTTTTGAAATCTTCTTGCGTATTCATTCAAATCTAATATCGTCGAGCCATAAACTCCTCCCTTCCACAGCGGTTCATTCATTCGAGTCAACGCCATAAGCTCCGACATGGCTCCAACTGCTAAGTCTATGACCAATGGCTTATCAGCCTCTTTTATTCCCATGTTCGACACCGAGAGGTTTCCACTACTTCCATTAGTTATCATCGGGGGCTGGAAGGGTGCAGCAGCTTGATTAGGAGGAGACATAACAGGATGGCTCATTACAGCACTGCCTGTATACTTTCTCACCACCGCAGATAATTGAAGGATCTTGAATCCAAAAGAGAAATACGAAAAAAAAATAATTAATATTTGAATTAACTGCAATATGTATACCATAGCCTAGTGATTATCCACATAATGTATGCCGTTGGTTATAAAAAAATGTCTAAAGATATATATATATATATATATATATATATATATATATATATATATATATATATATATATATATGAGGTGTTATTGAAATGGTTATGAGACCAATAATATATGTGTGTGTATGTCTGACGTTTTACATTAAATAAGTCGTTGTAAAGAGGCATGGTTCACTTATTCATCCTCTAGTACACGCATATAGTACGTACCTCTTTGGTTAACTTATCATTTTCGTAGCGAAGATTAAGTTCGTCGAAAGACATTTCGCCAATTGCGGTGCGACCTCCACAATTAGGACATGAGGCTTTAACGAGAGCTTCTCGATAGTGGTGGTTATCAGCTCTAAGCCTAGCGTTCTCGTCACGAAGTTGTGAGTTCTCATGACGTTCTTGATGATTCTGCAAGAAAAAGAAAGAAGAGAGAAAACAAAAATCTAAAGCAAGTCTTAATGAAATGAAAAATCTACTTGGTGGTGGTTATTGGTTTCTTTGGAGTGGTATGAATAACAAAGACAGCGAGGTTTTTGGCTCTCAAGTGATTAAAGAATTTACTTAAAGAAATTATGAACATTAATTTCGTTTCATACAACACTTATAGACGGTTGGTTTCCTAAAAAGAGGTAATTCCAAAACAAAATATTGTAATAATAATTAAATTAAATTAAAGGATTCATTTTAATTTAAATAAAATAACTAACTGAAACAAATACATTAAGAGAATGACATGTGGAGATCATATGCAGAGAATCATTCTTTTTCTTTATTTTATTTTTTCTTTTCATTTAATTCATAGATACTCCTCCCTAAAACCTAACTTTGGAGCTGCCTTTAGACGTTGTTGTTACATACCATGATAAAAACCAACTAATGTTTGGCACAAACGTTAAATATATAAGATAATAGTATAATGTTTATACCTTGTTCTGGGTGCGTTTGTTCTGGAACCAGAATTTGATCTGAAGCTGGCCTAATCCCAATTGGCTGCTAAGTTCGTTCCTCTGCTTCTCATCTGGATGTGGACACTCTTTGAAGAAACTATTCAAAAAAAAACAAACAATTAATTGAAGATGTGAAAATAATTCTATATGTTTTGACTGATTAATATATATATAATTTAAAAAGAATGGAAAGTATACTTACTTTTCCAACTCCTGGATTTGGTGTGGAGTGTGACGATGGTATCGCTTTCTCTTACCCTGACGAGGATTTGGACTGCTTCCATCTCCTTGATTCTCACTGTCGAATTCCTCATCTCCACAACTAGGACCACCATTCATGTTGTTATTGTTTTCGTTTTCGTTACTATCGGCGTCTCCAATGATGTTTCTCACATCATCCACTGGTTCCATGTAATTTGGCAGAGACATTTTTGCAATTCTGGGAGATCTGAAGAGTTAACAAACTAAAGTGAGTTGCCTAGAAATTGATTTCAAATAACAAATATGATCATTCTTACACATAATATCTAATTAGGGTTTACAAGGATATGCTTCTCATTTTCTTGGTTTCCTTAATATCTAGACAACACACGGACACACACTCTCTCTCTCTCCCTCTCTCTCTCTCTCTCTCTACACACTAAATTCACTTCAACATAAAGTTAGCTTTTCCAAGTCAACTACATTTTATTTTCTTTGATCTCTTTTTTGTTTTGTTTAAGATCTTGAAAATAAAATAGAAACAGAAGAAAATGAGCTGACAATTTAGAAACTGAAAATGAGGTAATCAAAGGACCCACCCAAAACACATAACATCACAATCAGCATATCAGCAAACAATCAACATATATTGAATTTCACAGACTCAGAAACAAATTAATTTAACCAATTGTTTTGCAAAAGTAAATGAATTAAGATTATAAACAAACCTTCTCAGAAGCTGACTGGTCGTCATAGTATCAATCCAAGCAGAAAAGAAGAAAATGAACAGGTTTTAATTTGAAAGTTTATATGGGTTTCTCAGTTTGCAATGAAAAATGGAATGATGTAATGAGACTAAATTAAAATTTGAGTTATAAGGAGATTGGCGAATCTCGTTCATTCCATTCATTTAACTACATTTGTCATTCATTTATTTACGGTCGTGACGTGAAATAAAAAAAGGATAAATTTAAAAAAGAAAAAGAAATATATAATCATTTATTTTACTGAAAGAAAAGTTGCATTAAATTATTCTCATTATACCTAAAACGAGAAAAAGAACACGCAAAAAAGAAAGAGAATAAAAAAATAATTAGTAAATTTGTTTTTCTATGAGAAAACAAAATAATCATTACAGTGGCTATATATATTTTCAAATAAAAACATTATGGTTAATTTAAATGTCTGATTAAGTGATCTAGATAATCCATTAATCCCTTGTAATTATTATTATATATACATATATATATATATATGAAAACTTTGTCATGTGTTTATTTATATTAACTACGTATATAAGATATAATCTAAGAAAATCAATAACAAGTTAACAAAATAAATTAAAATAAGTACATGTTAATTATCCGTAAATCTACAAGGTCATAGCTTGAAAAAAATTAAATATTAAAAATATTTTGATGTTGGTTAATTAATTGAAATTTAACAAATCAATTTTTAGCGCGCGAAGATTTGAACACTATAATAATAATTTTCATCAATTTGTATGGAAATCTTAATTAAAAAAGCACATATACCAAATATCATCTTTTCTTTTATAAATATGATCAAATATTGTGTCAGGGAAGGAGAAAAGAGTATTGTATCATATGTGTATATGCAGGGACAATCAACATCAAATGATGTTTTTCCTAAGAACCAAAGATATACATATATAAAATTGTGTGATATATAAAATTTCTCCTATGTTTACATTTAATAACATATTCAAATGCAAAAACGCAAAACATATTCAAATGCAAAAACGCAAAATGAAAAAGGGTAAGATATATATAATCCAGCGATACCTGTTCAAGTTTGACTGCGTGAACTCAGAAGAATCAGATGTTCTCTTCTTTCTGATTTATTGTTCTTCCATACAATTTGTCTCACTCCTCTTTCTATAAACCTGATGAAAAATATAACAATAATTTAAATCTATGAACAAACTTTGGTCCGAAATAGTTATGCAACTATACGGTCCCAATAGCAAAATAATTAAGAATCATTCAATTTTTGATGTATGTATACATGATAGATAAACAAAGATGTTATTGTCTTATTGATAGTTATGTATATTATCCATTAAATGGAATGGTGCAATAAATCTATTGAAATTTAAAAAGAATAAAATCTAAGATATGTTAATTATTTATGAGAAAATTAATGAATGCTACACAGATATAAGTTGATGAAAAATAGGAGAAACCCTTGTACTATATTGATAGCCAGTGGTTTATATATGTCGGAAAACCGTTGATGGATTTACGAAGCGGTTTTGAAGCGTAATGTTCAAAGGAGAGAGCTAGTGATAGTTTTGAAAGATATAGTTGCAGTGAGGATGAGTGTGCTATTGAATTTAATGGGGATATATATTGTGAGAGAGAGATAGACTTAATTTACCCTACAAGCTCGAAGAAAACAGAAGAAAGGAGAGAGAGAGAGAAAGAGAGAGAGAGAGAGAGAGAAATAGTTGAAGATTTTCTTTCACAATTCTCTCTTTATTTACGTGGCATAGTCATATTGGTTTCCAATTACGGTTACATATCCTATAAGAAATTATTTTGAAAAAGTAAATGACTAAATTTAGTTTTTTTTTTTGCTTTTAAGCTCCTCTTATACATTCGATATCTTTTCATAATGAGAAACAATATTTTCTATTAAAGCATATATGGTAGGGGACTAGGAGCATATATACTGTTAAAACATGTAAAAGTAATAAAAAAAAACAAGCAAAAGTATTTAAAATTTAAGATCTAAATTTATACTGAAAATACACCATCAATTTATTCATAAATAACAGAAGTTTATTATCATGTCATTTTCTAATTCCAATAATATGTAAGATTGTTTATGAGCATTTTAGATTATTTTCAAGACGATTATTTCTCATAAAATTTTTATATATTTGACTTCGATTAGTTTTTTATTTAACAGATGTGTAAGATTCTATTTGCCCGTAAAAGTACTTATAAATCGAGTCAACAGAAATTTTTATATATTTGACTTCGATTAATTTTTTATTTACAGATATGTAAGATTCTATTTGCCGAGAAAAGTATTTATATATATCGAGTCAACAGAAATTGAAATACCTATTATATTATTTTGACTAGATCGAATCTTTTAAAAAATAAAGTAATTAAGGTATCAAATAACGGAAAATAAAAATAATACGATTATTTTTATTATTTTTTTTAAATCAATTGATAACATATTCAGTAACTTATTTTAAAATCAAAATAAACTAATTATTATTTAAAATTTGTTCCCCGGTCAATTTTTTTATTACAAAATTACTAAAAACAAGTTTGACCAAAAAAACAATCAGAATTTACCAAAATAAGAGTTAAAATAGTTATTTGCCCTAAATAAAATTATAAAATAGTGCATATATATACTACAAAAAAACGTTTATAACTACAAAATTAGTTGTATGGCTCAAGTTTCATGGTTATTTGACCAATATAAACATAAGGCCACAAGAAAATTTGTATCTACAATCTTTAAAAATTGAACAAACAATTAAATATCCCTAATTTAAAATTCGATTTGGGTTTGAAAAAAAAATTATAAAATACAAAATTTCAGTTTTCATGTTAAAGTGTTTTGAAGTTATCGAACTACATATACAAAATGATATCGCAAATACATTATGAATTACCATCGCAAGTGTTATGCACAATGGCGATTCAAGAAATTTATTTAACATGAATCATATACTCATTTAATTTCATATTAAGTGTCACTTTATCTTTTTAAAATTTATTTCATTATAAGTATCATTTAGATTTTCAAGAAAAATATTAAATATTTATTTCCAGTTTTCCCCTATTTTAGTTCATTAATTAATAAAATCAAGAAAAAAGAAAGTATTAAATTTAATATTTTCTTAATTCGTGTGTAAAAACTTTAAACGACACTTATATGAAGCGACTTGTTAATAAATTTACACAATTTAATATTTGTCTTATTAAAGTTGAAGTAGTAATATGAAATAATCTTACGTTAACATTTTAATTACATCTAGTGCTTACTGAAACTAATTAATCCCTATTTTTAACATTAATTATTCTTAACAAAGTATTCCTTCAAAAAAATAGAATTAATTTACTGTCAACATTAATTATTATTTCAAATGACAATATGCCTTAGCAAATTATTTCTTAATATAAACAATTTTATCCGTAATTGATTGTATATACAAATACTAATACAAATGGTATGATAGAGATCAATATAAAATCAGTTTTACCATTTCGGAATTAGAACATATTATTTTTTCTGTCCTAAAATAAGAAGTCTATTTATATTATATATACTCTTAAAGGTTTAAATATTAATGTACATAAATAATAAATAAAAATTGACATAAAATAAAAAAATATTTTAAATAATTACTTACTTATTGTATTACTAATAAAGTTATATATGCTATCTGAAGATACAAAACAACATTCAATATTGAATATAATTAGTATAGTAAAAATAAAATAATATTCAATACAAATAATATCCATTGCTAATATCAAAATATTAATTCCTATACACTAAACATATACAATATGTTTTTAAAAGTTAAAACAAAAATCCGCACGGATATGTGGGTTAAATCTAGTATTTATTTATTTTGGGAGCATCATGTGATCTCATATAAAATTATTAAATACAAATAATAAGATTTATATTTTATTAAATTAATAATGTTAGAACTTTAAAATTTTATTAATTTACAAAATTTTCTTATTTATATTTATATTTTTATTTTAAGATATATTTATTTTAAGATAAATAAATGTTTGATTGTAGTGTATAAACATTAATATTTTATTTTGATATTTAGATTAAATTTATTATATTATTTGGTGTATATAATATATATGCATAGAATGTCAATGTGGTTTTAGATGTAATATTACTATATCTCATCAAAAATATATTAAATTTTAAGAAAATATAAAGATAATTTCATTGTGAATATAAACAAACAGTATAATGATAGGTTCTTACTTATATAAAACATGTATACATATAAATTATTACTTTAGATTTTTAATGGGATCATATATTTACATAGAATTTTCTTTTAAAAAAATTATCTTATGTTTTTAACGTTTTGTGTCAAATTTTAAACTGATCTAAATTAGATAGAAAAAAAATATTAATTTATAGAAATTATTAATTTATCAAATATTATTTATTGATGTTCTATGGTACCCTGGCTTTTCATA